AAGTCGAAACGTTAGTCGAATAGGAGCTCGTTTATCATCTTGTCACAGGTATTATCAAATGGCTTTTCGTTTCATATCCAGCGCGGCGCTTGGCTTTTAGTTTTTTTTCTATTGAAAACAGCAATGAAGACGCCCTTATCCCCAGTAGGGATCACAAGCTATAATTTTACCCGCTGGATTTCTTTTCCAGCGAAAACTCAAATGAAAAGAAATTTCTCTCTGGTTATATAGGCACAAAAAAAATTCTCTGCCGTTGTCGATATCAGCAGCCGTATTACGAGATCACCGCGCTAAAAATATTAATATACCATCTTCATTTACAATGACATGATGTTCGATGATGAGAGAATAACCACATTCCAACAAGTTCTGATGAAAAACAATGCGAAATGGATTTAATAATTAATAATAACACATACAACAAAAGTGATTCCCAGTGCGAAAACAGAAAAGGTTTCTTCAAGTATTAAAAAATAAAGGTTTCTTCAAGTATCAAAAAATACCAATTAAGAATTGGTAGCTGTACATAAAACAATGTCCATTGGGGACATTATACAATTGATTCGGTCTACATAACTATGACGATGAGATTCTATCGTCGACCTAGACGTTCAACAAAAACCCCTCTACAAAGCCAATTTAACAGCTACAATCAAATGATGCACCCTCGATATAAGGCAGGAAGGCAATGGAGGAACGGAACACTCACACGTATTCGTCGATGAAGTTTACAAGAATGGAGAACAACTATACATGATTGATGACAGCACCCATAAGGGAAAAACTTGAGCATCAGAGTTTATCCAAGTTACTGTATGCGACAGGCGTCATCGCGACCATTTAATGTGTCACCAACTTTAGCTTGGTAGTAGTCCTGAACCAGATATCGAATGGCATCCAAGTCCTGTTCCAGCTTTGCCATGCTTTCCTCCTGACGGCGCATCTGCAACACCACATAGGATTAAAATACTCTGCCGCTGTCTTAACCCTGTTTGTAAACTCTCATACAGCGGTTGCTTCGTGCTTTGCTTATACATTTGTTTGAGATTCTCTTATCCTGAAGTCTTAAACAGATAAATGAGCAGTATGTAAGTAACAGCCATAAACTGCTACACGCTTGAGAGTTTTCGCATGAATACTGACATAAAAGCGAATTTGTAAATTTAAGGAAGAAGTTTCATCTTCGACCTTTTACGATTTTACAACTTTCCTTCTTTTTCCGAAAAATCGCAAATAGGCCGCCGCGTCATTCAGCATGTTGAGAGATTAGAATGGTAAAGAGCATGCTCAGCACTACCGAAACTGACAGACAACGATCCCACTACTCTTCTTTATGTGCCCTTCCCATACCGGTGGGCATATAAAATTATTATTTTTGTAATTACGTATTGCTCTACAATTCAATCTTGACCTTCGGGGAGACGGAAAGGAGAGACCAAATACTTCGCACATGCAAGCAGTCACGATGAATTTTTTTGAATCAGCCAAGGTCCGTTAAGGAGCGCTCCAACTTGAGATAGGTGTACGCGATGAAAATGACGTTAATGCTGAACAAATGAAGGAAATAATTGGCTCTTCGAATTATGGGCCAAAACCGTACACTGCTACTGAGAGATTATCGCCTTGCTTCTTCAAAAAAAAAAT